TAGCAAGTCTCTCCCAATCGTTCGTGTACTCCGTGTCAGTGCCGCTGGGGCTAAGCCAAGCCTGCAACTGTCCATCTGGTAGTGGTCTGCCCCACTCTGTCGCCTTGATGGGTTTCCATCCTATGTCCATCAGCGTGGCCTGCAGCGTGGCGATGGGGCCTCTGACATAGGCCCACCTCCTCCGTCCAGCCGTGATCAATCGCTGCCTGATCTTAGTCCAGGCTAACTTGGCTCTCGCGTGGATCTGAGGATTCATCTGCCACATCGCCAGCCACTCATGAATAACTCGTTTGCGTAATTCCAGACCTGGCTCCTTGTCCCACATCTCAATTGCAAGTGTTGTCGTCAAACATGTGCCTCCTTGAGAGCCTGCTGCGATCTGGCCCGCCTGTCTTCTTAGCTTCATCAGCTCCGTCGTGGAGAGGCCGAACGCTTGATATCCGTACGTGGCCTGGGGCAGGGCGCCCGTAGACCATAGTCCTTTCGCTTCTTTAGCCAAGGTAGTGCTCTTTCTCAGCCTCTTGATCTTGGCGAAGCGTCTCTTGGCTGCCAGGATTCGTCTCTTGAGTGTGCGTGCAACTCGTTTGCGGCCAGCGGCTGCGTCGAGGCCCAGGTCCTTCGTGTATGTTTTGGCCTTGGCGGGGGTTCCATTCAGCTGCAACCTCTTCGCCACGCTAGAGACCATGTCCCTGTTCGAGCCGATGACGACTGTCTTGTCCGAGATCTTGAGCCTCTGTTGACGAAGTCCTTGGGCGAGCTCGCAGGCCACCCTGACCATCTTATCTGGGGTGTCCTGCGTCGCGCCTTCCACTCGAGCCACAGTGTCATCGACGAATGTCCAGAGTCCAGCCGTCGGTGGTATGATATGCGCTCGCTGTAGGATTGGGTGGAGAAAGACCTTCGCGAGGCTGACACCTCTGGGCGACCCCGCAACAATCGATCTGGATACCCATAATGCCTCACTCAGCGACGACTTGTCTTTGAGAAAGCGTGCCGCCGCGAATATGAGTACTTCCAGTCCACTACCACTGCTGGATAGCCGATCCCCCTGGCGATGCGCATCAGCAGCACAAGGCTGACGCTGCCGTAGAACTTCTCGATGTCCTCCAGCAGGGTGAGGCTGGAGATGCCCAGCTCGTAACCCGCCTCGTCCAGGCAGGCTCGGAGCAGCCCAGCTCGCAGCGCCGAGCTGCCTTTGAGGGCCGTGTCCCAGTGCGCGCTCAGCGCTTCACTCCATTCGCTGCAAGGTGACGCCCTCGTCCTGCTCCAGAGTTTGACTGGTAGGGGTAGCATCCCCAGCACTCTCTCTCCGCCTGCTGGTTTGGGGACCACGGCCCCTAGTGTAGCCGTCCACTGCCTCGGCCATGTGCCCGTCTGCTCGCGCATGTTGATGAGGTCGACCAGCTTCTGGCGTGCGCTCTGCGGGGCCCTTTTAATGTCGTGCAACTTGAGACCATCCACGCCACCTGCTTTGTTGGGACTCGTGGCCTGCATTGCCGAGTCGAACTCCTCAATTGTGATCGGGTCCAAGTCTTCTTCTCTGGCCTTTCTGCGCATGACCTGCAGTTCCCACGCGATGTCCTCTCTGGTGTCCACTGCGTCCGTCCATATATTTAGCCATGTCTGCCTCTTCGTGTGCATGAGGATCTCTGGGTCCGCCGAGCTCGCGTTCTGGCGGTACTGCTCGCAGGTCGGCTGCACTGGATCTTTGACGTGCTTGTGAAGGATGCCTGGCTTGTCTGACCACATCTTCTTTGCCCACTTGGTAAACTGCTGCCGCTGTGTGGAGATGTCTCTGGAGACCGCTATTGCCAGGTGATTTTCGATCTCATCCTTCAACCTCTCAAGCTCCTCCAGCGTGTGTGACTTGACCTCCTGCACCCGTAGCATGCGCTCGTCGGCTTCAGCATGATCAAAATTTTTACCAAAGATCTGATCCAAACCCAACCTCCTGAGCTGCTGGTAGGTCGTGGACAACTCCTTCTCGCACTTCCTCTGTTGCTTGTTGTCCGTGCCGTTGGTCCTTAGTGACTCATATCTGGTAATCAAGACTCCCATTACCGACCACAACTCTGCAGCTTGATACTTCATATGCGTACGGCCTGGTGTGGCTTTCGATCTTTGCCATCTGATTGCAAACCCACCTCCTCTTCCTCGGTGCGCATCAGCCTGCTCGGCGTCCATCATGTCTACACCGATGATCGCCTCCTCCAGAGTGGTGACCCAGACCGCGTACTCGCCTGTGATCGCCTGCTCCATCAGCTTCTGATGCTCACTCCGTATGAGAAGGTTGGCCTCCAACTCGTGCATCTGCTTGGTCAACGCTGGCCCGATGGCAGTGCGACTGGCCTGCTCCCACTGGCCCTCGTCTATCGCGTATTGCACCGTCTGCTGCACCATATCGGTATGTGGGGGCTCGAGCCAGTTGAACTCCTCGCGCAAGTCCTCGGGTAGTCCTGCCAATCTCTTCTGATGTGCTGCCTGCTTCTTCTTGCTGCGCTTGCTCTCTGGGTCGGGGGCCTTCTTCGGTGGGAGCACCAGCGGCAACGGCTTGGGGAGATCCAAGTGCCTATGCCACCAAGCCTCCGAGCGCCCTGGTAATTTGAGCAAGAGCCCCGTGTGTGTCCTCCAAGGTACTCTCGCATGTCCGTCGATGGTGGTGCCATCTGCTATGTCTTCTCGTGCCATGGCGAAATCTATGAGACTGCCCTTGCCCTTGTCGCAGGTGGCCTGGATCTTCGGAACGATCACCTTGCCTCCCAGGCGCGTGGGGAGGCCTGACTTCTCGACAAGGGACGGGGACATATTCCAATCTGCCATGATAATCCAAGGGTATGTGGTGCTCCCTATGACCGTCGAGAGCGCCTTAATATTTTCAAAGCTGCTGCCCTGCATGCCCTCCTTGGGAAGCAGGTAGAGGGAGAAGAGAACGACGTTGCCTCCGCTGAGGTGGATAGACATGGCCGCGAACCCTCTGAATGGGTCCTGTCCTCCTCGGGCCTTGATGGTCTCCCTCATCACGTCGAACGTTGTGGTTGCCAAGTGCGCCTTGGCGATGAGCAGCTCGCCTCCGCTGTTGCCCTCCTTCGAGCGTCGCGTCGGTGTTGCTGCCGTGACTGCTGCTTTCCATCCGTCGTTGCTCAGGTCTTTCTTCAGCTTCGCGATGCCTGACTGCGGCACATGGGGCTCCGTGAAGGCAAAAATCTGAGCAAGTTCCTGGCTCTCGTTGAGGAACTTATGCTGTTTCTCGCCCCATTGTGTGATATTGCTGAAGAATATACTGGTGACCTTCGCTGGCTTAGCTGTCTCACATGTCTGATTGCGAGCTCTTTCACACTGGCTGCGTCGCCAATCTTGACAAGCTGCGTCCACATCTGGCGCGGACGAGGAGGTGCGATCCCCAAGACAGGGTGGCGATGTCCCAGGGGGACCAGGGAAGGCTGACCACTCGGGGGACGGCGGTGCTGGAGGCCTGTCCAGCGCTGCAGGCGGCTGCCATGGCGGGCTAAATACCAGCCCGACCAGAAGAAAAGCCCGTAGCGCCTCCCGCAGCAGCCGTACCAGCCGTAGGTGAAGTGGTGGTCGCCCTCTGAGATGCCGCCCTGGTACGCTCCCTGTTCTCCTCGATGAGCTTGGCGATCGCCTCAGCCTTACGCTTTTCTGCATCTGGATCGCTGGCTTGTTGTTGCTGTGGTGGTGTCTCAGGCTTGGCGTCTTGAGCGGGTGGTGGAACATGTGCGTGTGCTTGCCCGTCTTCGTTGATCCTGCGCTTCTTTGCCGCATGATCAGCCTTGATCTTCTTCGCGCTCTCGACCATGGTGAGCAGGGCTTCCTGCTGCGTCTTGGCGCGCTCCAGCAACTCCTGCAAGGACTTCGCGTCCTCCCTGAACTTTGCAAGCTGGTCCTTCTGCGTCTGTTCCAGGTCCTCCTCGTCAGCGAAGAGGCTCTCGTCCACCTGGAAGTCCGCCTGCTCGGGCTTAGCCGCCGTGCCCTCCGCCACTGAGTGCATGTTGTATTCTTCCAGGGCCTTCGAGTGCTCCTGCTGTGCCTCGTAGACCTCCGCCGCTGCCTGCGCCACCTGCTCAGCGAGCTTGGCGAGCGCCTTCTCAGCGTCCATGTGTCGCTTGGTGACTCCATCGAGCTTGGCCTTGGCGGAGTTGGCCTTACCGATTGCCTGCTTGAGAGCCGCGGACTTGGGTAACTCCTTCTTGGGCGGGGCGCACTTCTGGGAGATGGTGGTCTGCAGGTGCTCCAGCTGCTCCTGCATGCTCTGGTCGGGCCCCAGCTTGGAGACGGCGTGGGCCAGCTGCCTGCACACCACTTCCGCGCATGTGCCCTTAGTAGGTTGGTCTCCCCATGGTGGCTTGCGCGACGCCGAGGTAGTGTCCGCCCAGAGAGTGACGAACGAGTCGCACTTGGCGCAGCAGCCCCCATTGCGCTTGATCTTCCAGTCGTACGCCCAATTGTTGCAGCTCTTGCAGATTGACCAAGCCCATTTCTTGGACGGCGGCGCCATCGCACACACGTGGTGCCTGCTGCCGTCTGGGTGTGGGTCGGTATGCTCCTCCAGGAGCTCACAGGTTGAGAGAGAAACGTCGGGCAGAAACGCCCTGGCACTGGCCGCGGACTAGCGGTATCCACGTGTTCCCCTTGTGGAACAAAGCATCTTGAGCCAAAATGGCTACGGAGGAGGAGGAGGAGGAGGAGAAAGAGATGGAGGAGGAGGAGGAGGAGGAGGCGGAGGAGGGGGAGGAGGAGAAGGAGGAGGAGGAGGAGGAGCAGGAGGGGAAGGAGGAGGATAAGGAGGAGGAGGAGGAGGAGGAGGAAAACGAGGGTGGAGGGGAGGTTCGAGGTTCGGGGTCTAGTTCACTTGCCAGGCTTCTCAGGAGAGCCCCCTCCCGCGCCCCCATAGCCCCCGATCCTTGCCTGGTGTCTCCCCCATGTCGCTCCCCGCCTGCCCGCCCGCATTCTGGCCCGCGCCCAAGCGAGAGTCCAATCTCATGAAAAGGGCGCGGCGCCGAGTCGAGAGCGACATTTCGCTCTTTCGCGCGGGTTGCGCGCCCCGTCCCATTCTTGCCTCGCACTCCGCATCGTCAGCGCCAAACTGGCAATGTTGAGAGTAACAACGTCGAGTTGGCATTGCTTTTTACAAGTGTGATGGATCCTCCGGACGGGGTCCCTATCGGTCGGCCAGGTGTCCAAGTAGGACTCATGTTTTTAGGAAAAAGGACGATGAGGTTTGCCCAGGCTTCCGAACGAAAAGGGACAATGTGACAGGGCTCAGTGTGAACGATCATATGGCGCAGTCGTTCTCTTCCTGCGCTTCTTCTCATCTTTCCCCTTCTCTCTCTCTCTCTCCCCTCTCTCTGCATATCTCTTTTTCTCTCTTTTCGTACCCCAAGCCATTTTGGCTCGGGTCATTCCACCAGCGGTGCACCTTCGAACCTCCATGGAGCCCTAAACAAGGGACGTTCCGCGCACGACTGCAGTGAGGGCCGGTTTGGTTGGCAGCCGTGGCAAGACTAGGTCCACACGAGCCTTCCGCCGAGGCATCTGCGGTCAGGAACTTTTGCACACTGCGTCGCGGCCCCCAAGCTTCAACGCGTTTCTCAGCCTCCCACCCCGCGGAGCGGAGGGACACGCTATCCGCTTACAGGGCATAGCGTGTCGCCCGGGCCGCCGCCGCCGCACGCCAAGCAAACGTTCCTGACCGTCAGTAGCATGCAGGTAGGCCCCGCGAAAGAAGCGGCCTGTGGCAGCGATGGTCGGCGGCCAGTGCGTCTGTTGACCGTCGGAGATGGCGACCTGTCATTCTCACTGGCCTTGCAGCGCTGCTTTGGCGACGGCGTGGCCGTGGCGGCCAGCACTTACCTGTCGCGCGACGAGCTCTCGCGGCGGTACAGGTCCACCCACCGAGCGCTGCGAGAGCTCGCGGACGCTGGCGCGGAGGTCCTCCATGGAGTGGACGCGTGCCGGCTGGAGGAGCAGCTCGAAGGCTTGGTCAGCGAGCCCGATGTGGTTCTGTTCAGCTCGAACAGGAGAAGACTTCATAAACACTGAGTTCTGGAGCTCCGCTCGGATTCAATGGATCGGCGCTAGGCCCCCCTCCTTGCCGCGCGGAGCGCGCCGGGGGCGGCGCCAGAAGCGCCGCCAGGGGACCCCAGCGCAGATCCAAGTGATCCGTGCGGCAGACCTCCGACAGCCGAAAGTTCATGCTTAAGTTATGTAGTTGTTTCTTGTTCGGTCAACTACCCGCACCTGGGAGACACGCCAGAGGATGCCCACTGCCCTGCGAGCGAGCATGCTCGTCAGCACTGCGCCCTGCTTGCGCACTTCCTCGCCGCGGCGCGCAAGGTCCTGCCGCTGGGCGGCCAGGTGCACGTGACGCTGTGCGGCGAGCAGCCGCGGACATGGCGCTTGGAGGAGGCCGCTGGGCGCGCGGGGCTTACTCTCTTGCAGAGCCGCGAGCCCCAGAGCATCGATGCCTTCCTGGCGGGGGACCTGCCGCAGCGGCTGCCAGCGCCCGCGCCGGCGAGACCCGGCCACGGGGCGAGGCGCAAGTGGCGGAGCGGTGCTCTGGGGTGCGCACACTGGGCGTCGCCCTACGGCTACGAGTTCCGCAGGCACGAGGGCGAGTGCAGCATGAGCGTCGGGCGCAGCCTGGCGTTCGCCTTCGTGGCCGCGGCGCCGCCCGCGAGCGTCCAGCGGCCGCCTGGGCGGGACGGCGCCTGGTGCCCCACGTGCCTGCAGAGCTTCAGCAGCGAGGCGGCGTTGGCGCGGCACCTGCTGGCCCCCGCCACGCCCCTCGAGCTCGCCGCCGCGCGGCGCGCCTGCGTTCACTGCGGGCGCGCCTTCCTCTCGGCGCGGGCCCTGCGGCAGCACGCGGAGGCGGCGGCCTGCGGGCACGGGGCCGCCTGCGCGAGGCGGACCGTGAGTCACGCGGAGGTCGCGGCGGCCCCAGGCGTCGGGAGCCTTGAGACGGGGGTCAATTCAAACGGGGGTCAGTCAGAGCGCTGTATCTTGCAGGATGCTGCAGAGCCAGGGGTGCATTGACCCAGGCTTGTGTGCAGGATCTTGCAGGATCCAGCAGAGCCTGACTGATCCGGGTCTGGATTGACCCGGGTCAGGAGATCCCCGAAGGCGGCACAGCCGATGTGGAGGATGAGGAGGACGAGGAGGCGCTTGCCAAAAGCAAGCCAGCTAACCCAGCCGAGGAGGAGGAGGAGGAGGACGACGAGGACGAGGAGGAGGAGGAGGAGGAGGAGGAGGAGGAGGCCGCAGCTGAGGAGCGAGGGGCGCGCCAGAGTCAGAGCCCGTCTCTGGCGGCCAAGGCCCGCGAGGCCGCGCCTGGGCCCAGGTCGGCCGCGTCCGAGGAGTCCCGGGGGTCGCCCCGGGGCGGCGACGCCACCTCGCACGAGGAGGCGGCAGTCGGGCAGGAGTCGGGGGCGGAAAAGAGGGGGGTGATGACTAGGGGGGGGTGGATATCATGGCGGGGGCCATGATTTTTCCTCAGATTTCACGGCGCCTCTTCTTGTTTCATTACGTCCCTGGCCCCCCCGCTGGGCCGCGCACATGCCGCCGGTCATGATTTGCACCCCCCCCTCTTGGACACCCCCCTCCTGGCCGCTCCCGAGAGGCGGCAGTCGGGCAGGAGCATGCGGGGGCCCGCTTGGTCGCGTTCGCCCGGGCTGCCTTCCCGGAGGCCCTGCCGTCCAAGCCGGCCGCGCGCCGGGCCATCGCCGCCGGCGAGGTGCTCCTCAACGGCGAGGCGGTGGAGGAGACGTGCGCCTCCAGACACCATTCCTCGTGCATGGCTTTTCCGAGCCATCCTGTGGTGTTGGGTTCTCGTTCTGAAGAGACAGCGCCCCGCGTTCCTTCCTCTTTCCTTCCTTCCTTCTCACCCTCCTCCTCTCCTCCTCCTGCTCCTCCTCCCTCCCCCATCACCTCCTTCATTTTGGCACACCCCTCACACGCTTCGTAACCCCAGGGGGGAGCTCCACCGAAGGCCCAAATGCCAGCGCTCGCACGCGTCCGCCGCGCCCATTTTGGCACACACCACTCGCACGCTTCGTGGCTCCATAGTGAGCTCCACTGAGGGCCCCAAATGCCAGCGCCCGCATGCGCCCACCGCAGCCATTGTGGCACACCCCTCACTCGCTTCGTGTCCCCACACGGAGCTCCACCGAAGGCCCAAATGCCAGCGCTCGCATGCGCCCACAGCAGCCATATTGGCACACCTCTCATACGCTTCGTGGCCTCATAGGGAGCTCCATCGAAGGCCTAAAATGCCAGCGCTCGCATGCGCCCGCCGCACCCATTCTGGCACACCCTCTCACACGCTTCGTGGCCCCATAGGGAGTTCCACCGAAGGCCCAGATGCCAGCGCTCGCATGCGCCCACCGCAGCCATTTTGGCACACCGCTCACACGCTTCGTGGCCCCATAGGGAGCTCCACCGACGGCCCTACATGCTAGCACCCGCATGCGCCCACCGCACCGATTCTGGCACACCCTCTCAGACGTTTCGTGGCCCCATAGGGAGTTCCACCAAAGGCCCTAAATGCCAGCACCCGCATGCGCCCACACCAATGTCGGCACACCCTTATCACGCTTCGTGATCCCATAGGGAGCCCCACTGAAGGCCCAGATGCCAGCGCTCGCATGCGCCCACCGCAGCCATTCTGGCACACCCTCTCACACGTTTCGTGGCCCCATAGGGAGCTCCACCGAAGGCCCTAAATGCCAGCACCCACATGCGCCCACACCAATATCGGCACACCCTTATCACGCTTCGTGACCCCATAGGGAGCCCCACTGAAGGTCCAGATGCCAGCGCTCGCATGCGCCCACAGCAGCCATTATAGCACACCCCTCACACGTTTCGTGGCCCCATAGGGAGCTCCACCGAAGGCCCTAAATGCCAGCACCCGCATGCGCCCACCGCACCGATTCTGGCACACCCTCTCACACGTTTCGTGGCCCCATAGGGAGTCCCACCGAAGGCCCAAATGCCAGCGTTCGCATGCACCCACCGCAGCAATTTTGGCACACCCCTCACACGTTTTGTGGCCCCATAGGGAGCTCCACCGAAGGCCCTAAATGCCGGCACCCGCATGCGCCCGCCGCACCGATTGTGGCACACCCTCTCACACGCTTCGTGGCCCCATAGGGAGCTCCACCGAAGGCCCAGATGGCAGCGCTCGCATGCGCCCACACCAATGTCGGCACACCCTTATCACGCTTCGTGACCCCATAGGGAGCCCCACTGAAGGCCCAGATGCCAGCGCTCGCATGCGCCCACCGCAGCCATTTTGGCACACCCGTCACACGCTTCGTGGCCCCATAGGGAGCTCCACCGAAGGCCCTAAATGCCAGCACCCGCATGCGCCCACCGCACCGATTCTGGCACACCCTCTCACACGTTTCGTGGCCCCATAGGGAGTTCCACCAAAGGCCCAAATGCCAGCGCTCGCATGCACCCACCGCAGCCATTTTGGCACACCCTCTCACACGTTTCGTGGCCCCATAGGGAGCTCCACCGAAGGCCCTAAATGCCAGCACCCGCATGCGCCCACCGCAGCCATTGTGGCACACCCCTCACACGCTTCGTGGCCCCATGAGGGGCTCTTGCGAATGCGGCGCATACAACGATGGTGCCCACAACTGCATATGGTTGGGTCCCTCGCCAGGCTAATTTCACAACGTGGCTCCCCAGAGGTTTGAACCCCTTTCCCAGTCGTCCTGTGTCTCTCTTGATGGTCGTGGGACCCAGGCCCCGGGAGGCCGAACATTGACAAAAACCTCCCGTTATGACTGTCGGCGGCGAGCCCAGGGTGGAAGTGAGAGGGCGCAGGTCTTCTCAGAAGGCGGCGGCGCTTCTCAGAAGCCCTCCGGCCTTCTGAGAAGAGACCCGTGTCTTCGGAGAAGGGTCAGGGCACTTCTCACAAGGCTAGGCCCGCCCCCTCTGACTTGCCCCCTGGGCTCGCCGCCGAGATCCCAGACCCCCGACGTCATGATTTGTTTCGTGACGTAGACCCCCGAGGGTCTGGACCCATTCCCCAACATCAGTTTTTCATCCTGCGTCGTTTGTTGGCGGTCCCGAGGCCCGGTGGCGGCCCCCAGGGGCCGAAAATAGCGAAAAACCTCCTGCCGTGGCTTTTTCACAACGCGAGGGGGTCTCGGGAGATTGTTCGCACAGATCCAGGAATTCGGATGCAACTCCTGGGAGGTCAAATTCTGATTTTGCCCTGGTCCGAAATCTGGGCTCATCCGGCTTCATCCTGCTTAATCCGGCTTAATGCCGCTTCATCCCGCTCAATCCACTCAATCCTCTTAATCCGAGGCCCACTCTGGCGTAACAGACCCCAATGGGGCTTAATCCCTTTGAATCCTTCCGACGAAGACCTCCCAGCAGCTGCCCCCTTTACAGGAGACGCGCATCCTGCGCGCCGGGGACGTCGTTGCGCTGCGGCGGGGCCCTGCGGGGCGCCTGCCGGAGGCTGCGGCTGGAGCCGCGGCGCGCGTTCGGCTGGTGGCCGGCGCGAGCGGGGCGGGCGGCCCGTGCTCCGAGGCCACGACGGGCGGATCGGTGGGGTTGGCTCCTCCTCCTGCCTCCTCCCCCCTTCCTGCTCCCTCCTCCCTCCTCCCTGCTCCCTCCTCCCTCCTCCTCCCTCCTCCTCCCTCCTCTCTCTCCTGTTCCACACCTCCTCGGGCCTGTCCCTCGACAGGAGGCATGTTCAATAATAGTCCAACAAATAATATGCGTAGGCGATTTTTCGACTGTCCTTGACCATTTCCGAATCTTTTTTGAGCGCTTGTAATTTTTCACCCAAAATTCTGTAGGGAGACACGCCCTACCTAAGGTTAGCTCCTCCTCCTCCCAAGGCTCCCTGGAGTCAGGGAAAAATCACGACGGGAGGTTTTTCTTTGATTTCTGGCCTTTGAGGGACCTCGCCAGGCCCCAGGACCGTCAGCACACGAGGCGGGATGGAGAACCGGTCACGGGGAATGGGTCGAGCTTTTTGGGGGTGGACGTCATGGAAAAATCATGAGGTCAGGGGTCTGGTGGCAGGCCCTAAGATCCCGGCGTCTCATTGTTTTCGAGGCGGGCGTTCTAGCCCGGCTTCTGGCCCCAGGACTCACAGATCGATCCGCCTTGAAAAACGGCGCAGAAAGATGGGGTCCAGAGGTCTAGTCGTGATTTTGTGCGATGTCGCATTTTTCTGCAACGTTGGATCTGAGGGAAGTCAGAGAGGAAAAAGGTACCGATACCGATTGATCTTCCCTCGTTTTCGCTTTTCTTGACCTCTTGACAGGCCTTCTTTGGCCACGGCTGCACTGGCTCCGAACTTTCCTATAGGATAATGATTACGCGCTCCGGGACATTGGTAGTTTGTGTCCCTCAAAAGTTCTGGGTCCCAGGGTAGCCTCCCTGACTACAGGTACCGCTCTCCCCGGACTACAGGCACCCCTCCCGTGGACTACAGGTATCCCCCGGACTACTGGTACCACCCTCCGGACTACAGGAGGTAGCCCCCCTGGATTACACGTACCCCCCTGGACTGAATCCACGCCTGCGTTGACGAGTTCCCCCCCCAGCCTGCAGGTAACCCCCCCCAGGACTACAGGTAATTACGGGGAATCCCCCCCCGGACTACAGGTACCTTCCCTGGACTACAGGTACCACCTTCCCCGGACTACAGGAGGCATCCCCCTGATATTACAGGTACCCCCCCGGACTGAATCCACGCGTGCGTTGACGAGTTCCCCTCCAGCTTGCAGGTACCCCCCCCGGGACTACAGGTACCCTCCTTCTCCCAGACTACAGGTACCGTTCCCCCAGACTACAAGTACCTTCCCCGGACTACAGGTACCCCCAGAACAATTGAGGGACGCAGAGTGCCTTCTGGATCCCCCACTTAAGGCCAGCTGAAGGCTGCAGAAACCTTGACGTCAGAACCGTGGCATTCCCGAAGCAGTGCTGGCAACCGGGGGCTTTGACGTCCCTCACCGGGGAATTGGATGAGCCCGCAGAGGTTTCGCCGCGTCGCCGCCCGTGGCGGCCTCGTGGCCGCCTCGTTGCCGCCCCCTTGGGGAGTCCGCCGAGGGTTCGCCGCGTCGCCGCCCGTGGCCGCCACACCCCTCACACGGATCGTGCCCCACGGGGGAGTCCCGCTCACCTGGGCACCCGCTCGCCGCGAAGAAAATCACGACGGAGGGCATTTGCGGATCTTCGGCCTCCGGTGCCCCTCGCCGGGCCCATGGACACCGTCGGAGAACAAGCCAGGAATCGCGATGGGGTGTCCGGGTGCGGCACCAAGTGGGCGCGCCCGCGCGCGGGCCCCCCGCGCACTGCGGCACACGGGCCCCGGTTCTGCACATGTGCTGAGCCAATTCTTGGAGAGGGGGGGAGGAAGTGGGGAGGTGGGCCAGGCTTGGGAGCTCGGTGAGCGCGGCGGGGGTCCTGCCCAGAGGCGCCAGGCGCCGCCAGGCTGCGCCTTCTGTCGTGCGCCTGCCCCGAGGGCGCGGCGGTGGTGTGGAAGCCCGCGGGCATGCGCAGCCTCGGGCACCACCCCACCACGCTGCAGTCCGCGCTCGCGCTGCTGCTGCCCGCAGCCGATGGCCCGCTGCCCCTCAGCCTGGCCGGCCGAAGGCTCGAAGGGCTTGTTGGGAGGTCTGATTCGGCGGTCGGCGCCGGCAGAACCGTGGCCGAAAGCCGGCCGAGTTCGGCTTTATATGCGAATTCCGTTAAATCGAAAGAGCGTGTTCTACCGCTGCTGGCGGAAAACCGGGGGGGGTCACTACCGGTTCGAACCCCTCCCCCCCCCCTCCTCCGGAAAACCGGGGGGGTCACTTCTTCGTGTCCCTGGCCTCTCCTCCGTTATATATTGAGTTACAGTGGACTTAGCGAGACTTAGCGCAATTGTTTACAAGTTTCTTAGGACAACTTGCGTAGTAGTTGCTATCCAGAAGCAAGTTCACCGCATATTTTCATAAGTTAACATAAGTTAACATAAGTTTACATAAGTTGCAGTTGCCCAGGGAGGCGTTCTGACTTTTTCGGGGCCCGTGGAAGCCGTTCTGGCTCAGATGCGCTATGACGGAGGCCCGTTCAGCCAGAATCGTTGCAGCATTGCAGGCAGGCGGCTTGCACGTTGCATGCCGCGCCCTCTGCCGCATGGTGAATGCCTTGCAAGAGGACGACGGCAGTGACCACGAAGGCAATGCAATCCAGGGGCATCGGCAATTACAGGATCAGGTCAATGAGATCGGCAACCGCAGCACGGATTATGGCCGAATGATAACCAACATAGCGGTGCCTCGCGAAGACGGTGGCGAGATGTCGTGGGATATCATTAATCCGTTCGCAGGGTTGTCTGTAATGTGCGAGGGGTGTTCATGGTTTGCGAGGCTTCTCCACGACTCCGTCGTCAGTGGTAAAGCCAGCCTGGTGGTGTGGGGAGACGAAACATCGTCGGGGAACCAGCTGCGGCCTGACGCAGCAAACAAATGGCTATCCGTGTATTGGACGGTGGTAAACCGACCGTCATATTTCCGATCCTCGGACCCAGGGTGGATACCTTTCGGCGTTCTCAAGTACGACGATCTAAAAGCAGTTCGTTGCCAGTACAGCGGCGTCATCCGATCTGCACTGCACCATATGTTTACCCAGCACATGTTTTCGTTCAGCGTGGGCATCCGTTTGAGAGACGGACGCGGAGGCATGTTTTTATGTTCGGCAGAATTGCGTGCCGTGCTGCAAGATGAGAAAGCTCACAAAGAAATGAAATCCACCAAGGGGGCGAGCGGATCTGTGTGCTGTTCTTCTTGTAAGAATATATACAATGGTGACGCTTCAAAAGTGCAGGGACATACATATATACGGCACTACGCGGTCACGCCGCCTTGTGAGTTCGACCACCACACAGATGAATCGTTCTGGGAGCTGTGCGATAAGCTTGAGGAGCAAAAGCCTTTGCTGAGCAAAACAGATTCTAAGGTTTTAGAGCAGAAGGCTGGTCTGCGCTTGGAACCAGGGGCTTTGCTGTTCGACAAAGCATTGCGAGGCGTTTTCAAGCCACAAAGCCACACACATTGGGATTGGATGCGCGTCATATGTGCAAGCGGCGGTACTGCTCAGATCAATTGCAATGAGCTGTGTTTAACATTATTGCAAAAAGGCGTGGCGCTGGAGGCGTTGGATGCGTTTCAGAGACAGCTTTTGGCCGATCAGAAAGTAGTGAAAAAATTGCCGCTGCGGCTGTTCCAAGACCGCATCGTGAACGCGCACGGCCACCACATGAAGTTATTCGCTGGGGAGTGTTTGACGGTGGTAACGGTCCTAGCTACGTTTGCCCGTGGCTCCCTGGGCGTGGAGTGCCCGCATAGACGGTGCATGCAAGTCCTGAGTGACCTCTGCGATCTTTTAACAGCTGGTGACGACGCGGTGCCGAGGACAACCCAGCTCGCGACCTTGCTCTGACAGCACCACTCCCTCATGCTAAATACTTACGGGGGCGGAGAGGGCGGCTCATGCGGGGCAAGGGAAAGTGAGCATGGATCAGGGGGAAAAGACGATTTGGCATTGCGATGCCTCGACATGTCGTTTTTTCGTCAACGCATTGCTGCAGGATCCGATATTCCCCGATCCAACTGCATCCGATACGATCTGAACCATGTCGATTAATTGTCTGCGATCTCTGCCTCACCGACCTCTCGCGCGTCGCTGCCCGCAGGGCGGTCCGAGGGCGTCGCCGCGGGCTGGCACGTGGAGGCCGTCGGTGGCACGCAGGCGCCGCCCGCCTGTCGCGGGGGGCAGGGCGAGGATGATTCTGGATGCAACGGCGGCGACAGCGGCGCGGCTGCCTTCCTGTTCCGAAGAGGAGGACAGGACGAGGGGGAACTGATAACTTCCCGCCCCCCCCTCCCTCGCCCTCGCCCGCCTTTCTTTTTCCCCTGGCCAACTTCCCCCATCGCCATGTCCATCTCCATCCGCCCGTCGCGCGCGAGGCGAGATCGGCGGCCTCGAGCTCGTCGGCTGTCGCCAACGGCATCGCGGGCACCACAGGCAGCACGCGCCTCCGCGCCCGCGGCAGGGAGGGGGGGAGTAAGAGCATGGCAGGAGCAGGGCAGGACGGGAAGGAGGAGGAGGAGGACCAGGGCAGGAGGAGGAGTAGGAACAGAGCAGGAGCAGGGCGGGAGGAGGAGGAGGAGGAGGGCAATATATTTTGGATTGGGGGGAGAGAGGAGAGAGGGGAAGGGCTTCCTCCCCCAGTAGGTTTCTTTACAGCTTTCGCTTTCTAGGGTCTCCCACGGGGAAGGAGACGCAGAAAAACATTGAATCGTATGCTTTTCGCTGAGATTTACATTTTTTTGAGCCTCATGGGCCCCCTCATGGGGCCCCTCACGAGGCGGCGCCGTCGTCGCCGTCGTCTCGCCGTGTCCTGGCAATGTCCAAATATCCAGGGCCTCCTGGGCCCTCCAAGTCCACACCCTACTGGGCCCCCCTGGAACCTCTTGGAACTGGGCCCCCCATTGGGCCCCTGGGCCAAAGTCCGGAACACTCTTTTCAAGACTTCGGCGCGAAGTCGTGCTTGCTTGTCTCCCGCCGCTGTTTCGGCTCGAATTCATTGCGGAGGTTGCGCCAGGTCCGAGCGCCGCGCGTTTTCAGAACCGATTATCAGCAGGTATCCCGCGGCGTTCGCGGCCAGCGATACCGAGCGAGGAGGCAGCGCTTGCAGCGATGTCGGGCGAGGAAGTCGCTCTCGCGGGGCCTGAAGAGGCGCCTGCCATTGACATGATCACGCGCAGTCTCTGCGATGAAGATGCCCCGAAGGACAATGCCACCAACGTAGCGGGCACTGACCGCCAGCCGAGGTATGAGTGCTTCCCGTGTCACAGGCCCCACGGCCGCGTGAAGCGCCTCAAGGCTGGCGGCGATGCGCAGTTCGAAGGCTGGGGCAGCCTCCCCAGGGAGGAGCGCGTCCAGTTCATGAAGGGCAACGCCGACGCCTACGGCCTCCAGCTGCACGGGTCGATGACCGCGCTGATCAAGAGGACGGTCACTCGTTCCATGGGCGCGAACTTCCACGAGAATGGGCGCTTCATGTTAGTGTCCGATGCAGCGGAGCTTCCAGAGTACAAGAACGATCCAGAAGCGTTCCAAAGGCTGTGTCAGAATACCCAAGAGCACACATGCCCCCTTTCAGGTATTAAGAGGATCTACGTCCCAGGGTACACGTTCCAGAGGACCCAGGGCCTGCGAGCGACCCAGACCGCCGAGAACGCCATGCGCGGCGAGGGGGCCATAAGGTCCACGAGGCCCAAGGCCAAGGCGAAGGCGCCTTCGAGGCGCCCTGCCGCCGCGCCGCCTGCGGATGGCGCGCCGCAGATGCCCCCCCTGAGCGCGGGGTGAAGAAGAACGCAGAGAAAACGATTACTACCCTGCGCGAACGCGCTCAGGACTTCGGCGCGCTGGTGGTCACGGCCTCAGCCGAGCAGGCGAAGTTCTACGTCCCCCAGGGCGTGCTGTCGAAGTCGCTCCGCGCGCAGCAGGAGTTGCAGACGTGCCTGGCCGCGCTGCAGCTCATCCAGCAAGACGGCGGCGAGCAGGTGAAGGGCGCCACGGCGGAGATCATCAAAGAGGCGAAGGGGGCGCTGAAGGAGGAGGGCAGCCTCTATGACAAAATCGAGGGCCCACGGGTGAAGAAATATATGGGAATATGATGGATAGGGGGGGCTGAAGGAGGGCGAATCTTGCAGGCGTCTTGGGACCTTCTTGGGGCCCTCTTGGAGGGGCTTTTTTATATATATATATATATATATATATATATATATAAACTTGCTGGGGTATTTTGCATAGGTCGCAGGGCTGTCGCCCGAAAGCTCGTTTTGAATATGCCTCGGGCCCATCCAGTTTTCGGGTGGTATCTCGGGGCTCTCGTGGAGCCTTATTGGGCCCCTCTTGGGGCCCTCTGAAAGCCTTGGGGCCCTCTTGGAGCCGCCTTGGGGCCCTTTGAAAAAAAAGAATAGTTTTTTTTTTTTTTTGAAAACCAATTTTTTCTGTCAAAGCCCTCTTGGCCCCCTCCAAAGGCCATCAGAGGGCCCCGAAAGGGCGCCAAGACGGCTCCAAGAGAGCCCCAAGATGGCAAGCTTTCGGGGGCATTATTGGCGGGCCCTTCCCCGAGGTCTGCTGGGCGACATGCCCGACGCAGAGCGCGAGGCACTCGCCGCGGCGTCCGCGTCCCAGGTTCGCGAGCAGCTGGGCGGCGGTGGCAGCGCCCCCACGGGGGCCTCTGGCTCCGCGGCGGGCACCCCCGCGGAGGGGGAGGATGCTGGTGCTGAGGCTGAAGCGGCGGCGTCTCCTGCGGCTACCAGTGCCGATTCTGCCCAGAAGCCTGGCCGCCGCGCCAGGATGAAGCGCCCCGCGGCGGTGCAGAATGTCGACTGAGATGCCCGCCAGTCGTTGTGCAGCACAGCAGGGGCCGTGCCGCCGCAGTCAGCCGCGTTGCACAGAGGTCGGTGGAGGGTGGCGAGGAGGAGGAGGAGGAGAGGAGAAGGATGAGGACGAGGAGGATGAGGGCGGCGACAACGCCGCGACCCCCCGCACCGAACGACTGCTCAGCCGTAACACTCAG